GACACATTGCGCCTCCACAGCTCTAATAGAGAAGGTGAAACACATGTTTCTATTTTCATGGGAGGAAAACATGAAAGACTAAGGAAGGGGTCTCCTATGGATTGTGTTTCAGGAAATACAGTCTCAGTTCTTTTGCTGTTAGTTTAGGATTCTGGGAGATAAAATCCAAAAAGCCACTCTTCCCACCACCACACCATTGTATTGCACATATTTTTTCTTCTGTTACATCTAATTCTAGTTTCCATAAAACTTTCTTCTTTATTATCAGAAGACAGTGCTGTTTTGAGAATGGGACAGACTGCCTCAGAAGGTGGTGAACTCTCCTCTGGAGAATCATAGAATAATAGAATTGGAAGAAATCGCATGGGCCATCTAGTCCAACCTCCTGCCATACAGGAAAAGCACAAAGTACCCCTGACAAATGGCCATCCAGCCTCTGTTTGAAAGCTTCCAAGGAAGGAGCCTCCACCACACTACTCCAAGGCAGAGAGTTCAGAAAGGTCTTCACAGTGGTTGGACAGGAGTTGACATGGTAGTTGGACAGGCGTTCCTTCCAACTCTATCATTCTACCATCTATATAAATAAAAATGTAATGACAGTTTGTGGGATTAACATAACTCAAAAACCACTGAACAAATTGACACCAAATTTGGACACAATATACCTATTAGGCCAAGGAGTGATCATCACTCATAAAAACACTGAAAAACACAGTGAAAGGGACTTAAAAGGCCAAAAACACAAAAAGACGCTACAGCGTATGCACAAAAACGAATCCCCCGGCAAACAAAACATACGATAGCATATCCGCACTCTCTTCCAAACGACAACTTCCAGCATCCCCTAGACTAGGCCCTTTAGGAGAGGAGGATGATCCAAATGCGCTGCTTCCATGATGCAAGCTTTCTTCTCCTTGGATTTCTTTGAGAGCATCCAATCTCTGCATATCTCCAATTTCCTATTCCTGGACAGCAACTCTCACCAGTCCTCCAGATAGATAGTTCAGATGGAGATAGGTAGGTAGATAGATCGATCAGGAGGACTGCTGGGAGTTGCAGTCTAAGAATAGGTAGAGAAGGATGTAAGGGGGAAAAGAGGAAGGGAAAGAAAAGGGAGGGAGGGAGAGAAGGGAAGAGGAAGAGGAAGAGGAGGAAGGAAGGACGAATGGACGGAAGGAAGGAGAGAGGGAAAGAAAAAAAAGGAGAGAAAGAAAGAAGGAAAGAGGGAGGGAAGGTTGGCCACAGCAACACATAGCAGGTACAGCTAGTTGTATAATAAAATCTGATCAGCTACCCGCAATACCCCAAATAATTTCTGTTTCTTGGGAAATTTAGTGCAATACCAGTGACTACAACTGGGAGCTGTAAGCATTCAGGTTCACTAGATTAGAACTTGACTTTGTTGAATCAAATAATTAACAGTAAATTATCAGTAGTACACTATCTGCAGATAGTACCATAGTGTATTGCATAAACGCTTCTTGCAAAGAGATAAATATTTGCACGCCCTTGCAGTTCTATGGTTCTAGAAAATAAATAAGATTCCAATTGTAGCAACACCCTTTCAATTACATAAATAACTTCAAGGTTTATAGCTGTTTGAACTCAAACTTTGTTCCTTTGATCTTTGGCCATGCACAACAGAATGCAAGTCTGGCATGTAAACAAGGCATATAAGGACAAACCTAAAAGCAAATCAGCTAATTTGACATGTGAAATCTCACTATTGGAGACTTTCTACCTTTAGGATCCACCAAGGAGCAAATATTCAACAGATGAATTTTCTACAAGCTTGCAGATAATAACACACGAAAAGCTTCACTCAATGAATCTGGGCTTCTAATAGTTGCTACAGGTACAGGAGCCCTACTAGAGAAAGCAACCTTAACTCCAAGACATTACCCCTGGAACTCTCTTCCTCAAAGAATGGCCAATCACAAATATGAGATCATCCATTTAATTTTGGAGCCCCCGGTGGAGCAGTGGGTTAAACAGGTCGCAGGTTCGAATCCGGGGAGAGGCGGATGAGCTCCCTCTATCAGCTCCAGCTCCTCATGCGGGGACATGAGAGAAGCCTCCCACAAGGATGATAAAAACATCAAATCATTCAGGCGTCCCCTGGGCAACATCCTTGCAGACGGCCAATTCTCTCATACCAGAAGCGACTTGTAGTTTCTCAAGTCGCTCCTGACACGATAATTATATCCATTTAATTACAGCCAATCTCCAGTGGGGCTTACAATATAGACATTTTGAGATAAAAAGTGCTCTAATTAAATCAAAAACAACTATTTTCTGACCGTAAAATGTATTGCAAACAGTCTCTTGTAAAGGATACTGACTTTCCCTTTCTAGTTCTACCTAAGATTGGTTTTGGATAGAAAATTCGATTAATTCAGGACATATACATCAAACTCTAATGCAAAGGTGGGAATGAAGTGACCCTGCTGGTGCTTTTGGGTTGCAACTTCCAGCATTCCTTGCCACCGACCATGCTGCAAAAGACTGCTGGCACCTGCTGTTCAGTAACACCTTGAAAGTCAAATCATTTCTTGCTCTAAGGGTTTTATCTACGAAAAGAACCCAATACAGCCCCAGATCAAATGAGAACAAAAAGGTTCATGCATTCTGAGTTCGTTCATTAAATCACATCACAAATGCCTGCACTAGAAATTTCCTAAGGTCTTCTACTCAAATAAATGCAAGGAATCCCAACCATAAACAATAGCTGCATCTCTAAGAACAATCAAATGTTTTGAAATCTCTCTTAAGTTCCTCTAATATAAAATAACCAACACAGATCATTCCTTAAGACATTGTCCGCAAAGAGGGGAATACTATTACTGGGATCACCTATAAGTTCTTCCATATTTTTCTGGCTAGTTGTAATAAATTTAGAACTACATTTATATTTAGCAGAAGCATCCCCTATTAGAGTTGTCTGATAAAGGAAAATATAGTTCATTAGATGTATCACTTGTTGCAGGTGCATCAATTCATTAAATATGTACACTGAATCTGTACAAAAATCACATAAGAACAATAGCCTTGAAGGGAAGATTAATCATTTTGAAGGACAGAAAAATGTTTTGTAAAACAATATACATACTGTATCTGTATATTGGAGACAGAACCATCTTCTACATGGAAGAGAAAAATCGGAACTTTATCTCTTCCAAGGAAGTGTTTATCAATTGTGCAAGTTAAAAAGGTATCATCAATATATATCATTTTACAAAAAAAAGGACCACACATTAAATAGATTGTCCCATTATAGTTTGCGTACCTTCCTAAGAAAATTTAAAAACTGTTTCCTCCTGCCAATCTATAAAAAATATTACTCCTGTGTATCCAGTTTCCAAAGTACCATGAAGTCTTCTCATGGTCATTTGGGGGAAAAGTAATTAAACTGCCTTTATTTTTATTTATTTTTATTTATTTACCATATCTGTACCCCACCCTTATCACCCTGGAGGGGACTAAAGGCAACCTTACAACAAGCAGCAATTTGATGCCACACACACGTGTGTGTGTGTGTGTGTGTGTGTGTGTGTGTATATAAATATATATATATATATAAAAACAATTACAATTAAAACCAAACATTAAAACATAAATTATTAAAATATCAATTAAAATCACGACATCCAAATCATAATCCAGGGCCGTTCCATTTGTCAATCACATTGATTCGTGGTCACTTATTGCACAGCTCCAATTACTTGTCAAAAGCTTGGCCCCAAAGCCAATTCTTAAGCTTTTTCCTGAAGGTCAGGAGAGAAGGGGCTGATCTGATTTTGATGGGGAGAGAGTTCCATAGATGAGGAGCCGCCAATGATAAGGCCCTGTCTCTTGTCCCCACCAGTCGTGCCCGTGAAGGAGGTGGGACCGAGAGCAGGACCTAATTAGACAATCTTAAACTCCGAGATCACTTCACAAAGAAACCTCCATCTGTTGACCTTTAGACTATGTTTACAGAACCAGACTAAGACGAGAATAATTTTCTTGCCATGATCAACAGCTATTAAGCAGAAACTGAGTGGATGTGGCAATGTATTTTATCAAAACTTCACCTGCAGAATATCTGTCTGCCATGGGACAAAGGCAGGATGGACAATCACCAAGGGCAAGGTGGGTAATTTATGGGCCACACAGAAGACCACGCAACAAAATTCCCCTCCCCCCAAATTTTCCAATTGTTTGGGTACCAAATGTCCCCAGACATCCTCTAGCAGAGTAGAGAGCATTTTCACAATGTATTGGGACTTCTGTGCAATTTTAAGAGCAGGATATGCTTTTTTCTGAATAGGAAGCAATCTGGAAGTTTACTTCATAGTTACTTCCTACTGTAAAAATGGCTTGGATGTCACTTCTGGGGGAAATTGGGAGATGTTGACAAGGTGGAATGTGTCAAGAGGAAGGTGATTAAATGATCAAGGGTCTGGAGAACAAGCCCTATGGGGAATAGCTTAAAGAGCTGGGCAAGTTTAGCCTGAACAAGAGAAGGCTGAGAGGAGACATGATGGCCATGTATAAATATATGAGGGGAAGTCATAGGGAAGAGGGAGCAAGCTTGTTTTCTGCTGCCCTGGAGACCAGGAGGCAGAACCATGGCTTCAAACTACAGGAAAGGAGATTCCACCTGAACATTAACCGTGAGAGCTGTTCAGCTGTGGAACTCTCTGTCCCAAAGTGTGGTGAAGGCTCCTTCTTTGGAGTTTTTTAAGCAGAGGCCAGACGCCATCTGTCAAGGATATTTTGAATGCGATTTTCCTGATTCTTGGCAGGGGTTTAGATTGGATGGCCCACGAGGTCTCTTCCAAGTCAATGAGTCTATGATTCCATGAAAATAAAAAAGAAAATCCCGAAGTTTCCTAGAGGCACAACAACCCATGCAGCCTTAAAAACTTGCCCACTCTGCTCCAGTTACAACTTCTTCCTTGTTGAATGTATGTTCCTACCAGGATTAATAATTATTAATAATGCAGCTCAACACTAACCTCTGTACATGCCGAAATACCCTTCGGACCGGATTGTCTTAATGAGGCAGTCAGACCTGTTGAAAAGGTAGAAGGAGGGAAAACAACCACAATTACTACCAGCCACCTTAAAAGCATTGTTTCAGCATTGGCCAGTTGCAGCACAGTTTCAGTCTACTGATGCACAGAGTTTACTCTTTTGGATAAAATGGCATTGAAGTGGGGAGAGAACGTTGTACTAAATATACATTATACCTGGAGTAATTACAGTGAGTGCTTTGGTTGGGCCATATGGCCTAGCCAGCCGTGCTTTTTGTTGTATTACTCATCTTACTGCAGATGAGAAGCAATTTCACATACTCCAAAAGCCTTTATTACCATAGCTATCAGAATTCAGACACTTTCCTGTTTTATGCCAATGGAGGAGTCTCCCTTTCTCTCTCAAAGGCTTTAAAATTGCTTCCATTTGTAAAGAGGGATTTTATATAAAAGAGAGAGATGGGGGGGGGGGGGAGATAAGTCCAGGTGCAGCAAAGCATAACACAAAGAAACTTAATGTAGAGAACACACTGCCTTTCATAATAAGCACCAGCACATCTCAGGGGATTCAGTCTTAGCCAGTTTAAAATAAAACAGTCAAATACAACCTGATTTTTATTTTGAAATATTCCAGTTTGAATCTCAATGCTCTTTGCTTGTGCCAATCAAACCTAAGCTTCCTTTTAAAATGTGTGACCTAGTCTGTTGGGAAACTTGATACATGGATGGGCCTGCAATTGTTAACATCACACTGTACAAGACAACAGAAAGATGTTTAAACACCTTAAAATGATGCTTTAGTGCTATCATAAAAGATGCGATGCCAGTCCCCCCAATGAGGACGTTTTACGTACTTATTTTCATGTTTTTTTCCCACGTCAGGAGTGACTTGAGAAACTGCAAGTTGCTTCTGGTGTGAGAGAATTGGCCATCTGCAAGGATGTTGCCCAGGAGACACCTGGATGTTCTGATGTTTTACCATCCTTGTGGGGGGTTTCCCTCATGCCCCCGCATGGGGAGCTGAAGCTGACAGAGGGAGCTCAACCCGCTCTCCCTGAATTTGAACGCTAACCTGTTGGTCAGCAGTCCTGCTGTCACAAAAGTTTTACCCAATGTGCCACTGGGGGCTTCATTTTCATGTTATGTTATGTTATTTCTATCTCATCTTTCTCTTACTGCAGGACCCCCGAATGTTAAAGTCCTGTTTTCAGGAGACAAAATCAGTGGTAAGGCAAGGGCACACCACACATCTATCTCCAAAGCCATTATATTCTTAAATACTACTTATGAAGATGAACTTAGCACAGAGCATTTATTTGATTTCCAATTTTTGAAATGTTCATTCAGAGTTTTTCTCCTGTATCGTGCCAAGCATCCTTCCTACACAGAGGATTGAGAGCCCTGCCCTTAGGATACCAGGCTTCTCAGGAACTAGGAGGAAGTGGCTCACATTTAGTATACCTTCTGTGCTCCCTCGCTGAGATGTCGCCAACCTTTTCTTGCCTCAAGAGTAACAAGAAATATCATCAATAAGCCCATCTCCATCCCTGGTCTCCAGGGCTCAGGCTGAGTCTTGGGCTATTTCATGCCTCACACTCACACGTAAAGTCTGTATTTTCCCCACGGAAAATGTTAAGATTATTTTGTCAATTAATGGTATGTATATTTTGATTGCTTTCCTTTTGATCTTTAAGTTTCTCCTCCTGATATACATGTCTTGATTAAGAGGTTTAATTGCTTGCTTCAACTTTCTAAAGCTAACGTCTCCTGTCTCAATGTATCAATTGCCCATAGATGCTATATGGCTGATTGAAATAAAAGGCACTACAGGTTGGCTTCTATCTCAGTTGTTACTAAGGAAGTGGTTGTGAGCTGTGCTAAGATAATAAATGGGAATCTCTTGTCCCATGGCTAAGAAAACAAAGAATAATATCATCATCCAATACCTCAGATAGAAGGAAGCAGATTTCAACGTGGGCATGCATTTACAGGAAGGGATATAATTATAGGGTGGGATAAGGTGGGGACAAATAAAGATTCCTGTCCCCACAATTGCAATTCTCCTTCAGTCCACACATTTCTAGCATTGTAGTAATTAAAAGTGGTGCAGCGGGTTCAACCACTGAGCTGCTGATCTTGCTGGCCGAAAGGTTGGTGGTTCAAATCAGGGGAGCAGGGTGAGCTCCTGCTGTTAGCACCAGCTTCTGCCAACCTAGCAGTTCGAAAACATGCAAATGTGAGTGGATCAATAAGTACCACTTCTGCAAGAAGGTAATGGCTCTCCATACAGTCATGCCGACCACATGACCTTGGAGGTATCTATGGACAATGCCAACTCTTTGACTTAGAAATGGAGATGAGCACCACTCCCCAGAGTTGGACACTAGACTTAATGTCAAGGGGAAATCTTTACCTTTACTTCAATAACTAAAAATTTCAATTGAGAATTTAGAAACACATCTTAGGCAAACAAAGACAAAAAGCAGATAAAGTGAATAAGGGAATGTGAACATAAACATTCTAGGAGTGGACAATTTCCAATGTCTTATTCTCTGCAATGTTATAAATGTGGGAAATGGAAGAAAATTCTCTAGTCCTAATTATCATTTAGGCAGACAATCCTCTCATTTTGCCCTCCATTGCAAAGCTACATCTCTGATTGCAGGAGAAGTTGAAAGCTTTATGACCACCACTTCATTTGTACCGTGCTGACCCTGGAACTTCCAAGAGAACAAGTTCCAAGAGAACACCTTGCCAAAGCGTGCATGACAAAAAGAGTGTTCCAGAACGTTGCTTCTAGAACAGAACAATAAAAGATCCACAGCACAAAATGAACTTGCAATGCCCGTGGTCTCCAGCACAAGACATAAATAAAAACCAGCACTTCTTAAGTTCTGAGGGATGAGTTCATATGCTCAGTATCCATGAAAGACAGTAATGCGCAAGCCATGAGCCACTTTGCCTCCAACCAGTGAGACGGCATTGAAGATAATTTTCAAAAAATCTTAACACTTTGTCAGGGAGCTCAGGCTGTCTGAGGAGTGGGCTCTCCTCACCCAACTTTTATCCTCATAATAATCCAGTAAATTGGGGTAGGCTGAAGGAAGCCACTTCTTCCAATACCTCGCCATCAGCTTCATGCTCAGGATAGATCTGAAACTAGGTCTCTTAATTCTGATGTTTTACTTACTTCAGACTGTCTCTCCAACTTAGAGGAGCAACAAAAGTTCAGCTGCTGAATGGTCATGGCAGCTGGCCCAAGGCTAACCATGAACAAATATATCTTTTCAGTCTAAATGTGAAACAAAAATACTATGCTTTCTCAAAGTAGTGGTGCATTTGAGCGGTCCCTCATAAAATACCTAGCTGATACAAGAATTAGAATAAACTACTAATAGTAAACATATAAGCCCTATAAGAAAAAAAATATCCTCACAAGATGCACTGTGATCTCGTGTTTGTGTCCAGGGTTTCAAATCCACACTCTTATTATGGATATATTAACTGATCTTGAAGAAGTGATTAAAAAGAGTTTTTATAGCTGAAGAAGTACAGGAATCTACCTGACACGGGTAATGGAAGAATGCTGCAAAACCATTCACAGAAAACCCTATAAAAATTACTTAAAACTAATAATTAACTTATTGCTGTTGCACAGTTTTTAACGGTTTAATAACTGGAGTACTTACATGCTGGAGTACATCCTCTGGCCATTCTGCTGATTCTGCAGGCGAGTTTTTGCCAGGTCAATAGGAAATACACAAGTGACCCCAATTAGCCCAGCTATCCCTCCATTGATCAGCTTGGCAGGTAAACTACAAGGAAAAACACAGAGGTACAAGCTCAACTGGAGAGCAAATGCAAACAGAAAGGAATATGTGCATGAGAAATACCGACATCTACAAAAGTTTTGTGACTCCTTAAAAATCAGCAGGTTATTGTACCGTAAGCAAGTCTTAATCTTGGTATCCAGTCATAGATATTATGGTCCATGTAATGTCTAGCTCTAAAGCTCTATAACAAATATTTTCCAGACAGTTTTCGGGTTGTAGGAGTGAGAGGCAGATACGAAAATAAGTGTCAAAAATTGTCTGAAGCTGATTATCCTAATGTTTTATGATGTATAACCAGCAATGTTTTGAGATTTCCCTTTTCCTATAGACTGAAATCAATACCAAATCAATCTTGGGTCATTTTGGAAATTTGGTAGATCAGACAAACATCTTGGACTAAAGTTTGTGATGAGAATCCCATTCCACAGTTCAAGTCTCATTAATATGGCACACAAAGATTGAATGTGCTCTTCCTAATATAATTCCCTCCCTCCCTTTCTCTACCACACAAACGCACACAAAATCTCGGTGTATTTGTGTTTTACAACATCAGGATTATCAGCTACTCCCTGGGCCCACAGAAGACTGGGTGACATGGAAGGCGCTGAACAGACTGCGCTCTGGCACCATGGGATGCAGAGCCAACCTTAAGAAACGGGGCCACAAAGTGGAGTCCACAACATGCAAGTGTGGAGAAGAGCAAACCACAGACTACCTATTACAATGCAGTCTTGAGTCCTTCCACATGCACAATTGAGGACCTTCTTATAGCAACACCAGAGGCACCCCCAAGTGGCCAGTTACTGATCAAAGGACATTTAATATAATGCCAAGTTTTCAAACTTTGTGGGGTTTTTTTTTGTTTGCTTTTCAAATACATTACAACTGTACCCTTGGTTTGCTCCTGATACAATAAATAAATAAATAAAATCAGCTAAGTGCAGCTACCTGGCCATACAAACATAGATGCACACATTCAACTAAAAGCAAATGAAAACAAAGCAGAGCATAGTTTTCCTTTTAAATGTTCCCCTTTGAAATCAATGTCAGGGATCTTTTGAAAAAATAAACATAGAATAAATATGTATTGTTGAAGGCTTTCGTGGCCGGAATAACTGGGTTGTTGTAGGTTTTTTCGGGCTATATGGCCATGTTCTAGAGGCATTCTTTCCTTCATCTATGGCAAGCATCCTCAGAGGTAGTGAGGTCTGAGGTTGCTTGCCATAGATGCAGGCGAAACATCAGGAGAGAATGCCTCTAGAACATGGCCATATAGCCTGAAAAACCTACAACAACCCATAGAATAAATATATGGTATCATAACCATGCAGTTAGGCATTCTCTATTCAATTCGGGAAACTTCTAATGTGTTCTTTCCAATCTACATTTTTTTTAAGTCTAGTCACAAAGAGTGTCAGTAAGAGGTACTCTTTGCAAAAACTGCTTTTGGAAGATAATGAGCTTTGGAAGTCACTCAGAGAAGAGAAGAGGACTGCTGTGGGTGCAAGCAGAGCTGAGCAGAATGACTTCCACGAAAGGGAAGCGGTAAGTTGAAAGCTGTTTCACATCTCATAAACTGTAACATGAAATTTGCTTTTCAGGATGAGTCTAATGAGGCTCCCAAAATGGTTCATTTGAGAGAGGTAAAACCAAAACAGGAGTATCAAAGCCTTGCCATGACAACTCACCTGAGCATTTTGTGCCAAGTGTTACAACATGTTCTTGTGTCTGTTAAACAGAATGTTCCAGCACTCATTTGATTCCATTCCAGTATTTTGAAATGGACGTTGTTTTACATCATAGATTGCTGGGATGGTACAAATCAATACATTAAAGGCATTGCTGGAATTTATGCTGTAACGCCCCAGTATTTGTTATGAGTTGCTTAAAGATAACTCAACCAAGTACAAATATTAGTGCAAATATGGTGACATAAAATATCTTTTGATCTTTTATTTAGAATCCAGAAATACATAGGGCGAGTACCAAAGAGCAGATAATCTACTTTACATGTAATATAGAAAAGCTTAAGAAAATCTGATGGGTCTTTAATATTCAAGTTGGCTAAAATAATCTATTTGCATGGCATTGGTCCTACACTGGAAACATAAATGCAAATCTATATTACAGAGCAAGATGTCCATAATCCTTTTTTCTTCCACTACTTTCCTCCTCATTTTTCCTATAAAATTTGGTCTCTTGAGGCCATAATGGACTTTGAATAGATATAGTTTATCTATTTATGATTGGAGCCCCTGATGGTGCAATGGATTAAACCCTTGTGCTGGCAGAAATGTTAACTGATAGGTCAGCGGTTGAAATCCGGGGAGAGCGGGTTGAGCTCCCTCTGTCAGCTCCAGCTCCCCATCCAAGAGAAGCCTCCCACAAGGATGGTAAAACATCAAACATCTGGGCGTCCCCTGGGCAACATCCCTGCAGACGGCCAATTTTCTCACACCAGAAGCAACTTGCAGTTTCTCAAGTTGCTCCTGACACACACAAAAAATCAATTTATGGTAAGGAAATACATTGTACACATAACATCCTCATTGTGATGTATACAATAACGATGTTGACATAACATGAATTGCATTTCTTTCTTTCTTCAGCACCCACTGGTTAGGATGACTTTCTTTGGCTTTACTCTGACTATTTTGACTATGACTCTGAAAAAAAGGATTTGGGTTCCCACTCATCCATGAAAACCCAATGGGTGACCTTGGACAAGCCATACACTCTTAGCTTCAGAAAAAAAAACTTTGAAAGGCTCACTTTATGGTTGCCATAAGTCAGAGATGCACAACAACAACAAACTAATATTCAGTAAAGAAATAACGTGATTAATCTATGCAGAAGACTTCAGGTTCAGTCCATCTTTGGCATCTCTCAGGGAGCTTGGAAAGACTCCCATCTGAAATCTTAAGAGAACAGATGTCCTCCGGCTAGATGGACATATTCCTATGTTCCTAGTTGGCATAAATGATAACTAGCCTATGTATTTGCAATGCAATCCTATATATATTTACTCAGAAATTAGTTACCCCCAAATAAGCCTTAATTAATGAAAAGATAAAGCCCAACCTGTAATTAGACTATAGTTATAAACTCTAGCACAGAAGTCCCTAAACAAAGGCCCGTGGGCCAGATGTGGTCCTTCAAGGTCATTTACCCAGCCCCCACCCTAGATTTTAGACTTAGGGTCATCCTATGTCTGAAACGACTTGAAGGTACACAACAACAACAACAGCAACAACCCTAATTAACTGGACTATCTTACCAGCCAAAAGCAGGGCCAGACTTCCCACCAAAATACTTGTAAGAAAAAGACATGAAAGAACAATACAATACTTAAAATGAAGAACAGTTTCAACCAACAAATATTGTATTGTTCTTTCATGTTTGTTGCACTACAAATAAGATAATAATAATACTTTATTGTTACGCTTTATTGTTTGGACAGTGACTCCCAGTGAAATAATTGATACCTCCGTGCAATAATGAACAATACAGATGACAAATGGGATGGCTCCTGGCATATATTTTCGGATTCTGTGATTTTAACTAACTGCTTTAATTTATATGTTTTAATTATGTGATTTTAATATTTTTTTATATTGATATGTGTTCAAGGCATTGAATTGTGCCTTTGTTGTGAGCCGCCCTGAGTCCCCTTCAATGAGAAAGGCAGGATATAAATAAATAAAATAAATAAATCATAATAAATTTATATCTTGCCACCATCTTCCTAAAGGGAATTGGGGCAGCTCACAAAAGCACTCAATAGTGCAAACATATAAATAGCACATAAACAAAATAACACAATAAGATTAAAGTTTACATAAAGAAATTACATGAAACATCATATAATATGTGCAGTGTGCATAGGAATTTGGTCATTTTTTTCCAAACTATAGCCCACTCCCCCAACGGTCTGAGGGACCATGAATCAGCTCTCATCTTAAAATGTTTGAGGCCCCCAGTCTAGCACATATCTTCAGATATGAGACACAGTTACCACTACAGTCCAAAAACAGTAGAGAGTAAAACCTACCATCACAGGGAGAAATAAAAATTCTGCTTTCTGAATGCATAGTTATTTTTTAATATTCAGTATAATCTTTACATATAAAAAAGAAGGAAAACTGAATAGGAAAAAAAATCACTTTTGTATGATGGGGCAGTGTTATTAGCTGCAACATCACGGAATCAAATATTTGCATTTGGTGGGGAATATCATAGTTATAAACACCAACTAAAGAAAAACTACATGTGCAACAACAAAGGAAGCAGAACTGATGCTAACCGTTGAGAGAAAAGCAGAAGAACTTTTACCTGATCTGTTTATCAGCCATTTAATTCAGATTGGATATTGTAGAAACCAGATTTCTTTTCTTCCCAAAGTCCTCCAACTTCTTTGATCTTTTGACACCCACTTCCAGCAAGTGGTTTTCTAGAAGCAGATAGAAATATCACCAATGTTATTCTTCCTAATCAGCGTTAGAGAAGGCCTTTGTTTACATGGAAGTAAGCTATTATTTTTCAGAGAATCCTATACGGTAGACGATGTATATACAGTTTTGCAACTGAACCGATATTTCAGAGGTTTCGGTGGATCCCAGGATATGACATCCAAGAAAAATATATATCTAATACCCCAATCTGTGTAGAGTACAATCTTTTAAGGAGAAAAGTACAGAGTGAAGATCACAGAAAGTAACAATTTCTTATTAAGGGAGGGACCCTGCTTTTTAGTTTTAAAGTGCAGTGGATTATCTCAACAGTGAGGGTAAGGCATTACTGCACATGCTCAGAGGTACAGTTGTTCTCTGCACATTGGAGTAACCAGTTCTATCTTCTGAATAGGTTGTAACCCTTACTGAAGAGGGATTTCTTTTTCAAAACAATGGCCATGTTACAGAAGCATTCTCTCCTGATGTTTCACCCACATCTATAGCAGGCGACCTCAGAGATTGAGGGGTGTGTAGGAAACTAGGCAGGTGAGGTTTATATATCTGTGGAATGTCCAGGGTGGGAGAAAGAACTCTTGTCTGCTTGAGGCAAGTGTGAATGTTGCTATTGGCAACCCCACCTTTCTTCCAAGGTGAACTGAACCACCTAAACTAGGCTCTACAGGCCAATGAATACTCCACCACAGACATCAGAAGAGCTGCAGGACCAAGAACAAGCCACGAGAGTCAAGACAAAGATCCACCCAAAGGAACCAATGACCGCATAGGGAAGCTGATGAAGAAACACAACCTACAAACTATCTACAGACCCGCTAAGAAAATCAAACAAATGCTATGTTCAGCAAGGGACAAGAGGGATCCTTTCACCTCTGCAGGACTCTAGCATATACTATGAAGCTGTGGACAAGTCTACATAGGGACCACCAAATGAAGCATTGCCCAAACACATATCAAGGAACATGAAAGGCACTGCAGACTAACTCAACTTGAGAAGTCAGTCATAGCAGAGCACCTGATTCTTTTAGGCTTGTTCTTCCTGAAACTGTGGAGGAGATTCTTGGGGCTGTGAGGGTGACCACCTCATCTCTAGACCCGTGCCCATCTTGGCTCATTAAATCAGCCAGGGAGGGGCTGGTTGATTGGTTTGTGTTGATTATCAACGCATCGTTGGAGCAAGGGATTTTTCCATCTAACTTGAAACAGGCTGTGGTTCGTCCACTCCTTAAAAAGGCTTCCCTTGACTCCACGGTGCTGAGCAATTACAGGCCAATCTCCAACCTCCCTTTTTTGGGTAAGGTGCTGGAGCGGGTGGTCGCCTCCCAGCTCCAGAGCTTATTAGATGAAACCAACTACCTAGATCAGTCACAGTCTGGTTTCAGGCCTGGTCATGGTACTGAGACGGCCTTGGTCGCCTTGGTGGATGACCTCCGCAGAGAGCTGGACAGGGGGAGTGTGACTCTGTTGGTTCTCTTGGACATCTCAGCGGCTTTCGATACCATCGATCATGGTATCCTTCTGGGTCGTCTCTCTGGGATGGGCCTCGGGGGCACGGTTCTGTCGTGGCTCCGGTCCTTCCTGGAGGGACGAACCCAGATGGTGAAGCTGGGAGACGCCTGCTCGGACCCCTGGCCTTTGACCTGTGGGGTCCCGCAAGGCTCTATTTTGTCGCCCATGCTTTTTAACATCTACATGAAACCGCTGGGCGAGGTCATCCGGAGTTTTGGAGTTGGGTGCCATCTCTATGCGGATGACACACAACTCTACTACTCCTTTCCACCTAATTCCAAGGAGGCTTCTCAAGTGCTAGGCGAGTGCCTGTCCGCTGTGTCGATCTGGATGAGGAGGAACAAGCTGAAGATCAATCCCGACAAGACAGAGGTCCTCCTGGTCGATCGTAAACCGGATCGGGGTATAGGGTGGCAACCTGTGTTGGACGGGGTTACACTCCCCCTGAAGCCACAGGTCCGCAGTTTGGGTGTCCTCTTGGATCGCTCACACTTGAGGCTCAGGTGTCGGCGGTATCCGGGAGGGCCTTTGCACAATTGAGACTTGTGCGCCAACTGCGACCGTACCTCGTGAAGGCTGATCTGGCCGGGGTGGTCCATGCCTTGGTCACCTCTAGAATGGATTACTGCAATGCGCTCTACGTGGGGCTGCCCTTGAAGACGGCTCGGAAACTTCAATTGGTCCAGCGGGCAGCAGCCAGGATGCTAACCGGGGCTCATTATCAAGAGAGGTCTACCCCTCTGTTTAAGGAGCTCCACTGGCTGCCATTTATTTTCCGAGCCCAATTCAAGGTGCAGGTGCTCACCTACAAAGCCCTGAACGGTTTGGGACCACCCTACCTGCGTGACCGCATCTCCATCTACGAACCCACATGCTCACTCCGATCATCTGGGGAGGCCCTGCTCGTGATCCCACCCACGTCGCAAGCGCGCTTGGTGGGGACACGGGACAGGGCCTTCTCTGTGGTGCCCCCCCGACTTTGGAATGCCCTTCCAAAAGATCTTCGACAGGCCCCTACTTTAGCAGTTTTCAGAAAGAACCTAAAAACTTGGCTGTTCCGATGTGCCTTCTCAGATTAGGAATCCCCCATCCCAAGTCCTAGAAGCACTTTAGTACAATTAATATTACTGCATACCGCACTATTTTAATCCTACGTTCCTCCTGCCATTCCAGCACTTTTAACCCTGTACCCCATTGCGCTGGCCGGCCCAGTTTTAAAGTGTCTTGATGTATTGTTACTGTTGTTTGTTATTTTGCTTAACTATTTGATTTGCTTTGTTTATTATTGTTGCATTATGTTTTTACTGTATTGTGTTTCTGAGGCTTCGGCCTGTGTAAGCCGCATCGAGTCCTTCGGGAGATGCTAGCGGGGTACAAATAAAGTTAATAATAATAATAATAATGATGATGAACCAAACTGGACACAGCATATTATTTGAGAACACAGAAATGCTGAACCACTCTAACAATCACCATATCAGACTACACAGAGAAGCCATTGAGATCCACAAACATGTGGACAATTTCAACAGCAAGGAGAAAACCATGAAAATGAACAAAATCTTGCTACCAGTATTTAAAAAAACTCTAAACTCAGGACAGTAAATAAAGAACAACACTCAAAACAGGAGAATTTCAGACAAGAATCAATTAGAGCCAGCTAATACCTCCCAACAAAGGATCCCCCCAGGCAGCAACCCCTAGGCTTTGAAGCTGCAAGGCCATTAAATGCTAATCAAGGTGCACAATTATGACATTCACGCTTGCCTTAAGCAGACAAGAGTTCTTTCTCCCACCCTGGACATTCCACAGATATCAAACCTCACTTGCCTAGTTTCCAACAGACCCCACAACCTCTGAGGATGCCTGCCATAGATGTAAGCAAAACGTCAGGAGGGAATGCTCCTGGAACATGGCCATACAGCCTGGAAAACTCACAGCAACCCAATACACAACCATTTTGCCAATCACACTTTTGAATCTTACACTATTTTACAATCTCTTGAAATGCCATAATGATATAGACAAGTTATTGGGATAACTTAAATAATGACAGAATAGGACAATAGCAACTACAGGGAAAACGGGAGAATTCTGAACATTTAATTCCTGGCATGCTGAACCATAGCAAAAAATTGCCTAATGTAAAACTAAGCTATTTGATCTGTTACACAAGATGAATGGTTGAATCTTGTACACAAATCAGGGGGATATGCAACAATATTTATTAAAAGTCTTTCTTAGTGCATAGAAAAGAGACTAAACATGAATTGATTATAAAGGAATATGTAGAAAATGTTAATGCTGACAAGAGACTCCATACATATCGTTCACCTTCAGTGGAAATGAAGAAAAAACAGAAACAACCATGATTTAATCATCTTCTCGTTGCTCTTATCTTTCATATTCGAAAAATGAAAATGGAAAGAAGATTATCACTTTAGCCATAGCTGAATCTAAAAGGCATTTGCTTCTCATTTTAAAGGAAGACTATTTCCAAATTACTTGCTCCTGCTGTTCAGGGAGGCGAGTTAACATGCTGAAAAAATGCTGAGACATCACACCCGCCCACCCACCACATGGCACCAAGGCATTTGTCAAATCTGACATGCTGCTAAGCTAGAAAAACAGATCTTCTGCGTAGTCTTATAATGAAACCAGATAATTCTGCAATGGGGAAGGAAAAACAAAGTATCTTTCGGTGCTGACATCCCTTCTAAAAACCTCCTGAAAGATTGTATCCAGTCATGTCAAAGAAGCAGCAATAATAAAGATTTAAAGTATTCCTATTTGAAAGCATGCCATTACAACAAGAAAAATATGATGACAACAAAGCCATCCTATTTGTCTCCATACAGATAATTTACTTATTGCAAAAAAGACTTAAATTTATTTTTCCGTGTTCTTTGTGGGAGGAGGTTATGAAGCACATATATCAATAGGGATCTGGTTCTCAGACTTCACGAGGGTATGTGAAAATGCATATAATAATGAACCCAATTGTTTTTAATGGGATGAATGATGAAGATGGTGTAGCTTGTGCAGGAATCCCTAAATGAATAGATGAAACTATGGATAAATGAAAATGCATTTCTCTTCCATGGATATGTAGGTTGTATTGTACTGTTCTAAAAGAAACCTGCATCCCAATGTTCACCCCCAGAGTAAGTTATTTGGGGGAGGGGAGGGGAATCTACATATCTGTAGTAACTAACTACCAACTCAATAAGGAGTTAAGTCTTTGATCAACAAATGAGATCTGGGGGGGGGGGGCAGGACAAATACACGCTTTTATAAAACAGAGTCCTTCATAGCATTACTGTGTTTCCTAAGTTATGCAACAGCAAGAGTAAGTCCCTTGTGAACTGCCTCAAGGCAAACCACGACTACCTTTTATGGCCCATTGGAAATTGCAGCTGGCACTGTAAAATGCACTATCCCACTGGGGATGGGGAAGACCAAATGACTGAGCAAC